GGGGGGCTGGGAGATAAGTTTGGATGATACCCGAATAACCGACCCTGGTGGGGCCATGCATTTGATGGATTTTGAATTATTTGTAGCACCTCGCACTGTCCCATTTCCATTGTGTCTGGGAGGAGTTGAGGTACTATTGTTTCACTTGATGATGATCATAAAGTTATTTTCAATTTAATTTAAAAACATCCTCTTTCTATCAATGTGCAAAAGTATGGTCTCTTTTAAATTGATTTTATTTACATATTGATAAATGAATAAATAGTACAGATTATATATTTAGAAATTACATCAAAAGTCTAGAAAATAAGTAGTGACAAGAAAAGGCCCGTAATAGTAACTCGGCCAATTCTTTTTGGGCGGGAGGATTACTCTGTATATGAGAATTGAAACGAAATTAAAAAATGAAATTTATATCGTATTATGTTATCAAATCAGCACTAAATATAGATAAAGAAAGATATATAATAATGTTTGACTTTGTAAATACTCTATTAGATTGATTTGGGAGAGAAATTCACAAATCTTGTTGAGTATGGTTACTATTTTGGTACGATTTTAGGACTAAAATTACTCCTTCATTGGTAACATTTTTTTTACTCCCTCCGTCCTAAAACTTTCTTCCCACTTCCCCTTTTTCCCCGTCCTAAAACTACCTTCCCATTAGAAAAAAAAAGATGACAAATGACATTAATACCCTCATGTATTTATACCAAATATCTTCTAACTCTATATTTTGAATGATTGCAAAAAAATTTCAAAAAATCGTTTTTAAGGAGGGTAAAATTTGAAGTCAAAGCTAAAATTTAAAAATGGGGAAAAGTCAAACTGGGAAGAAAGAATTAGGACGGAGGGAGTAATTGGGATGGTATTAAAAAATGGGGTGGTAATAATGTGCTTTGAGGGTTAAAAACTATTTTTATCCTAAGAAAAGCTATCAACAAAATTTAAATTGTTTGACGCATGGATATTTTGTACTCGCACGTTCTTACTCAATAAGCATTTTGTTAATATATTTAAATAAAATGGTTTTGTAAAAATTATAAATTGAGTTTTAATTTAGTAATTTAAGAGTAATATTAATTGAGTTAAAGATGTTAAAAAATTTGAAAATCTATTTCTCAATTCGGTATCAAGTTGGTTCAATTTGGAACGATGTCGGATCAATGATAATTTTTGTACACCTTAAGATTATTCGTAGAATTAGAAAATGGAGGATTTCCCTTTGTAGCATTTTTTTTTGTACATTACTACTATACTTCGTTCGTTTGAAAAAAAATTGCAATTAATATTTTTCTGTTGAGCTGTTTAGTAGACCTGGCAAAAAAAAACCGACATGATTTTGACCCGAGACCGACCTGAAAATACTGGGTTTTAAACAAAGGTATTGCTGAGCGAACTCGAAGTTGACTGAACTTGAAATTACCCGTTAAAAATGGGTCAAACTTGACCGAATCTGAACCCGACCTGACCAATCCGCTAATGTAAGAATTTTTCAAAATCATATGCTTTAATATGTAATATAATGTTATAAAAATAAGATTTAAAATATACTCCCTCCATCCCAAAATATTTACAACATTTGTTTTTTCAGCAGTCGCGAGAAACTTTTGTTTATTTCTACATTTCCATTGGTTATTTGATAAAATAAAATATTCTTGATACCTCTTATTTTGAAGAATTTTTCATGTAGTTTTTTATATGTAAATTTTATTTTTTATTTCTATACCAATCTGTAAATTAAATGAATTGAGAAAACTTGATATTTTACCTTGAGCTACAAGTATGACAAATATTTAGGAAGAAAGAGAATATTTCTTTACTTATTACTCGTTATTAATGTAAAAGTCTTAAACAAGTGAGCAAGAAGGTTTGAGTGGGAATATACTGTGACAAAAGATTAAAGTGGTCGGCACGCTTTGGTAAAGGAAAGGGATAACTCCATATATGAACATGGGTGGTTGGGTGGGCCCCAGACGCTCCTCTATGTGAACCCCGGTTTTGTACACCAGGGGTACACCATATAAAAGGCCAACCCTCCAACCCCTTATCCCTCTCACCCACGTAGTCTCTCTCCCTCTCTCTTCCCGATCAGCCTTCTTCTTCGCCGGTCAACAATTCTACTCCCCTTCACCGCCTCACTCCGGTACCCAAAAGCTCAAGCCTTCATCGTCTTTCTCATCCTGGCATCTTCATCTTCCTTTTTTCCTCTGCGACGTCGCCCTCCACTCCAAATCACCTTTGACAACATTCACCTGCAACTTCACACTTCCGCTCCGGTAAATCAAATTTCTATGGTTTTTGATATAAATCAAATTTTATTTTGTTCATTGCTAGATCTGATTTTGTTCATTGTTGGTGGAAATTTTGACTTTCCAATCCGATTTAGACAAAAATCAAATTTGATTTTTTTTCACATATCTGATTTTATTGCTGCACTTTCCCAATTTCAATTTTGTGTTGCAGCTTTAGGTAGTTATTTCATCTATGTATGTTGAATGGTTTGTGACAAGAAGTCTAGATTTTTTATCTACACTCTCACAGACACATTATGTTTGTAAAGAAAATATTACAGACACGTAATGTCTATAACATATTTGACTAACACTAGTATGACCTAACAAATTTAGAATCCCTCCCAAAAGTTCACCAGTATCCCTCAAGAAGTATCCTTCAAGCTTACTCATCTCATTCCGAATTGGTGCAATAATTGAATATGCTCATTTGGTTCCTATAGCTTCTAAAACGTGTTCCAAACAAAGTGACATTTCTTAATTGTTTGTTTGTTAAGTTCCAAACAAAGTGACATTTCTCTTAAGCACCTATGCAGCTCAAAAATCTTGATTGAATTGCTGTTCTTAAGCACCTATGCAGCTCACAAACATTAGTGTCTGTGGGTTTGTATTCACAAACATTATGTGTATGTGATTACAGCTACTGATATGTAAATGCCTAATTACAAACAATACCTAAATTTCTCAATTAACACCATTAACTACATGCACAAGTGAATTCCATAGATGTGTTCGTTGTAATGTATTGATAGTTTTGATTTAAATGTGTTATTAGCTTCACAATGTATTGCCAACTTCATACATTCATGGCCAAACACACTCCATACGTCAAATCATTAATCTCTTATAATGATTTTGAGCTTTAATTTACTTGTCTTGTTCAATGATGTCTTGCAGCCTGATATAAAACCCTGCGTTGCTCCTTCGGCTTTCTTTCTCCATGTTTGTGATTGAATCAGGTCAAGCTTTTATGGGTCTATATGTAGTTGCTCTCAAACTTGTATCTAAATTAGGATTACCTTAGGCTTTTTAGTCGTTAGTATTCACCGAGTTTGGGTTTTTTTTTGTTTTTGTTCGCTCTTTGTGTATAATTATATGTATTACATTACCATACTAACGATATGGACTCAAGATGCTACACCTGTTTTGTGTTTGCTTCATAAACATTTTTATTTGTGATGGTAAATATAATTTTGATGGGATTGTTTTTTCTTAAGGACACATGGAACTCCTAAACGTTTACAGTCTGATTTTTAATCACAAACACTAAGAGTGTAATCAACAACAACAACAACCCAGTTGAATCCCACTACAGTAGGGTCTGGGGAGGGTGTGTACGCAGACTTGCCCCTACTCGAAAGTAGGGAGGCTGTTTCCAAGAGACCCCCGGCTCAACCTGCACAAAAAATATGGTAGAGAACACAATATAACAGGATAACAAGATATAACAGGATATAACAAGATAAAGCACCAAGTACAATGAAATGAAAGTCCAGCAAGCAAAAGTAGAAGATACCAAACAAACACAACACACTACAAAAACCTCTACAGCACCGAGCTCCTAACCAGCTACTCTAATCCTAGTCCTCCAAAGGTTCCTATCTAAGGCCATATCCTCAGTCA